GAATGGCGAGACCTGAAGGTCCATGGTTCGATCGCTTGTAGGATTGTGAATGCTATTTGGTGTGGAGTAGAATGAAACACCTGTCTGATGCCCTCTGATTTACGACGATACACTAGCTGAAATCGATGTGTCGAATACAACCTACAAATCAAATCAATCAACACAAAGTCCTCTAAACAGCAGTACTGAGTTAATTCCTATTTGTCCTCGGCAGATTATATTAACATCACCTGAACACCTATTAAAATGACGAGCCCCAACTAAGACAAAATGTACGTCCTGGATTTCACTGATAGCCATCATCCACTTTTACTTATAATGAAATGAGTGGTTTACAACCAAACTTGACACATTTGCTACGGTAAATTATTATTTTGTAGATTACTCATTCCGGCTTTCAAGGTTTTGAATTAAATAATAAAAAGAAACCATAAACAGTGTCTTACCTTATGGTTATTTACAATATCATTTAATGGGGAATTTTATTTTCAAAAATTTCATGAAAGCCAATCATTGATCATTGAGTAGATATAACAGGAAGGTGAAAAGATCATAGAAATTGTTCATTAATTATCTTTTAAACCAAAATGTTATAGAGAACTGATGAAGAAAGGACCGTACTTTTAGCTAATTATGTCTTGAATGATTCACTATTATTTAAGGTTACAAGAACTGAAATATAAGATTCGCTAAGAATGAATGAAGATTATGGATTTGTGACTAACATGAATTCCTTTTTCGTGACAGTACGGTCAATAATAATACATTCAAATAATAATCATAACATATTAGATAGATCACCAATCATATTTGATTTCTCGGCTATACTGTTCATTATGATTGTACATTATCACGGAATCAGCCAGTTTAACAGATTATTTCCTTGATTTAGCAAACCTCATGGGCCATTATAGTGAACATACCGAATGGACTTAGTTAGACAATCATTGAAAAACCAGGAAGCAATGGACAGCTGTTTTGTCATAGTATTGGATTCCACCGTAGTTTATATCTCCGACTCTATCACGGATCGAAACATGAACCTTCAAGCCCTGTGATTAATGCTTAACACTTGAACACTGACTCGGCATCACTTTGCAAGCTCAACTTCAAGTAAAATATAATGTCGAACAATCATCATTACATGTTCTTAGTGACTGACTTTCTCACATCCGGCATGACTGAACTCCACTGATTATAACATATCTCATGGTATATTTGCATATGCCATTGGTTAAAATAGTGGTATTCGACTATTTAGAAAATCTCTAAAATTTATTAATATAATCACTTGACCTGTAATAATTCAACATCTTAAACTCAGATTAAGGAAAGTACTTCAGTTGATAAAATTATGAACCAGTGTAAGAAGAATTAACTAAATCGTATTATCTACATCCTGATGAGTTGATTGCCTCTACTCAAAATTATGTTGAACCAAGATCACAGCTTTAGTACAGAAACAAAAAAGACACATCAAGAAATTCATTGATAAACAGATACGTTCATATGATTACATAATGTTTATCTCATCCAAGTTGTTTATAAATATCTTCCATTTTCTAGCATTAACACATAAAATCAATTTACTATTGTTATCACATTTTTATCTTCCTCAATAATACTGAAATCAGTTACTCAGCAATAGGTTCACCCTTTATCACAACTCCAGAAACTATCTTCATCGTTGTATAATGAGAAAAACCTGTCTATTCATATGGTCCTGTAGATTAACAGTCATAGTTCAGAATTAAGGCTTCCATGCCGTCGTGTACGCACATTGTTGTAGAGCCCAATACTGAGACAAAATAACTGTCCGTTATTTTCCTCACTTTTCATTGGTTGACGAACTAAATTTAGTGTGTGGTGTGGAAATACAAATCCGAGAGTTTTCACAACATCCTCTAGCAACGTTTATAACCAATCTTCATTAATCATTTATGATATGGCGAGACTAAAAAAGTAAAATCAACTCAATGTAAAAACCTATCAATATAAAATATTTGATCACATAGTAAGTTATTGATGTATTGGTGTTAAAGATTAACCAGTTCAATTTTTACAAATCTGACTGTAAGCAAAAGTATCGTATTCAGAAATCATTTTTATTTACTTTGGTGGTCAAGTAAATTCATATCAGTAGTCTTTGTGTTTTTTGTGTACTTGGGTCTCCAGTACCAAGCACAAGACAGTCAAACATATCCAGCAAAAATTGATAGATAGATAGATAGATAGAACAATTTATCGAAGAATAAACTCAGTGTTTTATCATCTGATCGTTAGTTCCTAGTAAATACTACCAATCAGGTTGCAATGCTGACACCAGGATCAAGTGACTCGAAATCATAGTGAATGGAGTTTAATATTAAGTAGTTAGAAGCGTCTATAACAAACAATCGATTTACGTCCAAAAATAACATCAGTAGAGCATGTTAATATCCGTAAATTTTAACATATCATCTGTTTTCTTTTTTTCAAATTACAGTAAACTAAGAACACAAGCAATCCAACCAAATGCATGTATTAATGATCCAGGACCTACACCACAAGAATTAATCGATGAGTTAAGTTGGTCAGGTAGAAGTAATGAAGATTATTTATTGAATTTAAAGGCTTCTATAATGGCTGAAAGTACACAACCTGTCAAGTAAGCCTTAAAAAATATGTGTGTTTAGGATTAAAAAGTAAATTGATCTCTCCTGACGATTTTCTATTTGTATATTTCTAACGATTTTGAAGTTAAAATAGAGCTTGTAAGCTAGCTAAGACACACTACTTACCAAGCTTTCTTCATATACTTAGATAAGAACTCTGTAGGTCATGATATCTTGGTCAACGTGCATTATTTTGCTGGTAATTAGAACTGATAAACTGTATACTTGATTTCGCTGCCTGATGAAATATTTAGGGTTTGTATTTTGAAACTACGAAACGAATTTGGTATAACACATAAAATACATTCACTTTTGTTGAAAGCACGAAACATGTCGTGAAACTAATAAATCTAAATGAAAACGGCAGAACGGTTGGTAGATTTTCCTTCATATGCATTCCTTGAAGAGATATGTAGAGAATATATTAGAATTCATGCATTAAACGTGTTATGCGGTTCAAGAATGAGCGAAAAATTTCATTTTAGTAGATCCAGATTGCCTGGTTTAAGTTGTTGCGTAACGTCGTTCAAGAACGTGTCATAATGGCGAAGATGTATTTACTATTTTTATTCCTCTCGATCTTCAGTTATAGTATATTTTATATATACCTTTTCATTTCCTTCTACGTGAATCATACTCCCAATGTTCACTCTATTTCATTATTATTTTCACCATGATTATCTTAACTTGTTTACTATCCATCTTTTTAACTTCATCTTATCGTGGCAGTTTGATATGACAACTCAGGTCATTGTATATTTGTCAGACTTTTCGCAGATGATGACTAACTGACTTGAATAATTCTGTAACTGAAGATAAATTATGAAAAAACACTGTTAAAATATGTTTAGGCAGCTATAAATGGTATATCTGCATGGCAAAAATAAATATTTATAGCAGTATTGGATTTTTAGTATTGAAAATTCTTCCGTAGAATCAAGCCTATGGAATTCAATAAAAATTATTAAAAGTATTAACCTATACACCACAGAAGAGTGATTTTCCTTTTCGTATAAATGAAGTTTATAAAATAGTATATATATATGATACGATGTATGTAATATGTGTTTATTTGAAAGAGTTTAGGAAATATGGATAAATTAAATTAATCCTCGGTCGTGACATAACGTTCCACAATCAAGTAACTAACTACACATAACCGATCCAAAAAATCTCTGCCTTAATTTCGTTCTCATTCATAAAATAGAATGAATAAATTCTGACGTAATAAATTATTTTCATAACTGTAATTTGACTTTATTCTAATTCATTTACATTGCAGAAATCGATCGAGGCGACTTACAAGAATGAATATTTCAGAGGGACTTTTAAATTAAGCTGTGAATGGTAGTAAAGAAAACAACTGCATCTTTAAACGTTTAATACATTTAATACATTTTGATTGAAACAAGTGAAATGAACTGAGTATCTAATTGAAATAATAATAAATAAATTTAAATTTATTAGTTTTATTTTTTAAGCTTAGAAGTAAAGGTATCATGTAATTAACTCGTAAAACTTGTTCTGTTTTAAATTACATTTACTTGCCATTATAGCTGAGTTCAATATTGAAACAGAATACCATCCATCTTATTCACATAGGTGATTTGTTGTTAAGGAAGCTTGAAGAATTCAGTAGTGAAGAATAAACCTAAACTGTGTTTAGTGGTTAATAAGTATTACCAATTAAATATTAAAACCTACTACCGATTGGTTACTAAGTAGTACTCAGTGTCATGATTGTCTAATCCATTAGTAATATAATGGGAATTTTTCAGCCATTAGTAATTACTGAATTCTATTAACCAAGTTCCGGTGAGGCCTCTAGTCTAAGTGACTCAAACTTGCGTCCACTATATTGGGATGTTAGTTTTGTTAGAATCAATCAGTAGGAAACCCTATATAACCAAGATTTCGTGATGATTAACAGGGCGTAATTGCTGTCTTAAACAAACTGAGTCTCAGTGTAAGATTGTGAACCCTAGTAACTAAGTTTAATAGTTACCTTCGAGACTGTAGATACACCTTGTAATGTTTTGACAATTAAGTATTAAAAAGTCGTAATTATTATATAACTTCAGAATCCTCTTCATAAAACGATTTTCACAGTTGATTAAAAGAAGGTGGAAAAAATCGTCAGTAAATAAACCCAACGGATTGCTCAGTTAAGACCTCAGACTTTTGCCATTAAAATAACATGCAATAGTTATTGTATTTCTTTGAACCACTAGTCTTCCTTATAAATTCGTCAGTCAATAAAGATAAAAATTGTATATATCATTCCTAGTAAGTGCTTAGGTTATCCCATAGTTGATGTTAAGGACTGTGCTAAGATATGTTACATCCTGGTTGTCTCTGTATGTATGTTTTAGAGCTGACATTACAACAGTTGTATTGGGCTTAATTGATAATTGACTTTAAACAACAACTTAGAGAGATAAACGAAAGCAATTCATTAGAGTGTAGAGGAGAAAAATCTAACAGATGCAGACAGTAACAAGAAATCGTTTATAAAACACCAACAGGTACGAAAAAGGCAATCTGGACAAATAAAATATAATTACTAAAAATAGTAATAAAACGACATCAAAACTCGCTAAAAACGAATAATACAGTAAGAATAAAAATGATCTCAAAATAAATGAATAAGTGTCTATTTTTGTAACTTCTCAGAGGAAAAACAAAATAGGTAACAGTAATAACCTACTTGTGGTCAAGTGGTATATAATAGGAAGAAAAAACATAGGAAAGTACGGTTACGTTAAATTATAGAGAAACAAGTGAGTTGTTTGATTGTTCATTTTTATGAAGTTTTTTGGTTAGTTCATGTTAGTTGAAGAGAAACCTAAATTGTCATTTCTTCTTGAAAAAGTAAACAATTAAACAATGATAGCAAATATATATCTACACAGAATCGGGCATTATTTGTTGTTGCTATCTGATTCATTCCTCTCCCCCGGTGGTTCTGCTTGGACTCTTTTCAAAGAAAAGTAACTCAACAGGTAACTAGACAAGTATTATCATTAACAACGTGTAGACTTCTCCTTCGAGTGTATAGTAGTAGGCACATTGTGTTAATAAAGCAATAATTGCATGAATGTGCATCAAATTAACAAAAAGGTAAAGTGAAAACCAAGTATATAATGATAATAATAAAAAGGAAGAATAAAGGCGAAAGAAAGTTTTGTGGCTCATAAAACGCACAAGAAAATTACTACTTTTTACGTACAGGTGGTTGGTTTATGAACGAATGAGAATATATATGGTCATGTGTGTGGAATAAAAAGAACTTATCAAGTAAGTGAAATATAAACCATAGATATCGTTGAACTTGTACATAATACAACAATGAAATTATGTAGCTAGTTCTTGATTGTGATTAACAAGACGTTGTTGAATGTTTGATGGAGGTGGTCGAGGTTCCGGACCGTAATATCGTTCAACAATATAATATCGTATTTCGACCTTAGGAATAATGAAATCAAATAAAAGCATGTGAAAACACAAATGAGAACTTGAAAAACGTTGTGCAACATGAATATAGACTGTAAAAACAAGGCGATTAACGAACAGTAATGAATATATAATAAATTTTCTGATAAATTAAGTGCTGTTCAATTGATAACGTTGTTTATAGTGTTTGTAAAGAGTCAGCTGGCAACCATGAAACTAAGTAGGCTGTTATTTCACACAAATGTCATATACTCCCATAGTGTTCATCACCTATTTTGTCTTGGATAAAAATGATCATAGTAATAATACTAAACTCATACAGCAGTTACTTAGGTTTAAGTCACACTTACTGTAAGAACTAATGATACGAATCGGTGGTCCAAACTGAAGTATATGGAGAGGAGTACCGACATGAAACTCAGTCGCCCTTTAAAAAAAAACACAAAAATCCTAACTATTGTTTACTATACTTAAAAATATATAGTTGTGTTTCTGTTGTTAGAAAATAACATCGACTCTTAACAGAAAGGATGGATTTTGGCTAGCAGTAGAACACAGGATGCTCGTTTTGTCCTGTATGGGACTTGGCAGATTGAAGTACCATCACACTTTGGATTCTACTGTTAACTGCAATCTCTTCTAAAAAAACTTGTAAAAAATAGCTATATCAAGACAATTTGATAAGGATGCATATGTGACGATTAAGACTGATCACAACTTAATTGTAAGCACTTATACAGTAGAACCACTGGGGTTAGCTTCCAACAGCACATTATCCAACTCCAATCAATTCGTGATATAAAGGAATGATTATAGTTAAAAGTGCTTCCTATTAAAACCTGAAAGACCAAAGTTCGACTTTTAGTATCGTTGTGGATGCTCACTGCTGAGGAATCCCATACCAAGAGAAAACAGTTGCCCAGTATTTCCTGGTTTCGACGTTGCCTAAAACGAGACTAATCTGCGATAAACATAAGCTACAAACTTTTCAAACTGAATACAAAAGTAGTTTTGATACTAGAAATGATAATAATAAAAACAGCGCATATATTATTTAACTAAACAAAATAAAGGGCCTAAAAATAAGGACAATATACAATACTTGCTACCATTAATATACTACGATTAGGAAATATAACAGTTGTATACTTTTTGTGTAAGAACCAAACCATATATATTACATACCATATTAAACAAAGAATGCATTAACATGAATGACACTAGGCACTAAAAAGCAGAAGAGATAGAGTGTGAACGACGAAAGCCACTACTAACTAACAACGAAAGTATTCAGAATCCATAAGTATATTCAGTGCTCCCCTTACGATTTTACCTACACAACTGGATATATATAAGGTACAGAGCAAACATAAAACACTTATATGTATTAATTTTAATACCGAAATAGAACAGATGACTAAATACAAACAGTTGCTATATATATATATATATATATATATATATATATATATATATATATATACAGGTCACATGTACACAACCTTGTTCAAGAGTTCAACAAAAACGGGAGAAATAAGTAGGTCAAGCTAAAAATAGCTAAACAGGGAAGAAAAATGATATTGAATACAACAAGTATTACAAAAAAAAAAAACGAGATTATACCTCTGGATAATTCTCTTTTTCTTCAACTACTGCTGGTTGAAAAGAAGAACGTTTGACTGGATAGTCTTTAAAACAATTTGTTGGTGTTCTTGACGTCGACAGTGGAGGCAACGGACAATTCGGTGAACTTCCAGTAGTTAGTGGCATTGTATGTTCAGGTGTAGAAAGTGTATGCGAATGACGTTTACGGCCAGTTGTCGTAGTTGATAATAACTTATTTGGGTCACCACTACTGCTACTGTTACTACTACAATTCCATATACGTTCAGGAGCGGTGAATACTAAATGTCCAATATCATTCACATCAACATCGTTCCCATTAATGTTGAACTGACTTAGATTTTGGATGTAATCGTTTGTTGTTGTCGCATCCTCAGATAGATCAATGTCCATTAATGAAGATGAATCAAGATCAGATGATGAATGTGGTTCAGTAGAGACAATAGGATAGTTCCTAAAGTTAGTCTTATTATTATTAGTTTGAGATGTGTTTAATTTATTCTGAATTTGGGGTATGGAACCGTGTACAGCTAGTCAAAGAAAGAAAAACACAATTATGACAGTTTGCATATAAACATTATATATGTATAAACTATACTATGAAGAGTAAAGTATTTAATTTGACAATGATTAATATCATTAATCAACTGTACTGAGTGTCTTATTATTTAAAGAAATTAATTTTAAAATGCAACGAGGTTAATACTTGTTATTAATCTACTTGCTAAGTATACACTATTTTATTTCGGTTCAAACCACACTTTAAGAGTCAGAGCTGTTCAAACCGAAGCAGACAGTGTAGTTTGAACATGTGACGTAATGGCTGAAAGTCGAAAAGACTAACCACTGAGAAACTGCTTTACATAGTATTATATGCAATTCTACTGACATATCTCATAACCCGGTTGATCATATTTTAACAATAATGTTTTTTCACCTTAGATAAGTCAGATCAATATTTTTGAAAATTGAAAAGTGGGATAAAAAACATCTATTTTGATTAGTTCCCTTTCAAACAAAACAACTATACAGACCTGTAAGACTTTTCTGACCACACAGAATAGCAATAGATTTATTAGCGCTTATGAAATTTCACTTTTATGCAAAATTAACTTATATGATGACAAAAAACTGATTACGACAACAGAAACAAATATTCTCTTTATAAATGCAGTAGTTAAAACGATTATTTCTTTGATAACACTTGGACATGCATGAATCACTAGTGTTTCTATAGGTTTGGGAAGTGATTGACCTCCTATACGACTAAGATATGTACAATTGATTGACCATTGAGTAGTGACCCGGACAGTTCAGTAGTAACGATATATACTGTGAAGTTTGAATCCCACAGAAAGCGTCAGTTCCTTCAAAATTACACCACATTATGAAAATGATAAATTGAAGAAATTATTTTGTAAATCGCTTCTTAGGTAATCGATTCACTTAAGTCTAAGAAGGGAAATACTATACCTAATTTTTTATACAGCATTTGCCATTGTATATTTAATCAACAAACGAAACCCGTAATTAGTTGTTGAGTGGCATAATTCTTACTAAGTTTCACTACACTCATTGGATATATATTTCTTACTATCACCACGATAGCATGATTAACAACACGAAAAGTAGAACCCGTTGTTTGTACTAACTGGTTTAATTAATTTATGATGGATACAGAATTTATTTTGGCCTTGCATAGAAATAACTACAGTAAAAATAATATTTTTAGGTCGTTTAGATGAAATAGTCAATAATGTTAAATATACAAACTGACTCATGATCTTAACTATTGAAATATACAATTGTTTTAATGTAGTAAAAAACAGACAAGAACAATACTAGACAATTGATCAAGACTCATTTGTAAATAATTTCTACGAAGTACTGTTTGAAGTGTAATTTTAAGGTCGCTTATCAATATATTTTTCTAAGAATTCTAGGTAATCTACCAAACTTCAAAAATCGTACATACCGAATAAACAACTATACGAAATATTCATTGCATACAATAGTATGAGATTATGGAATAAGAGAAGGAAAGTATTAATTGCACTAAAACTCACCTCCAGGAGTATTAGGATTTAAGTGCATTAAACCAGTGGATGAGCGTAAGCCGGCTGGGGGACTAAGAAACCAATCAGAACGTTTTTGTAAGCGTTCCAACTGACGTCGTTTAACAGAATTAAAACAAACTGATTGAGAAGATGGTGTTCGATAGGTTGTATTCTAGAGAAATATATAAAGATAGACTATAAGTTTTAAATAAAAGCAAATATAACCATGATGAATTTATTATAAAATATAATTTATTTTAATTGTGATGTTAGTAAAACCATATCAGTTACGGAGAGAAGTATACGGCAGTCACTTCAGCTGCAACTACGATACCATGTACAGCAACCCTGCTTTCATCTAGCTCTTAGCTATTCCAAAAGGCGAACGTAGCTAAGAAAATTTGTCGGAAATGTCCAGAGAAGATTCAGATTTACATGTAAGTTAATTCAGTCATATATCAAATTTAGTGATTACTAAATACAGAGTTTTATCTACTAATTGTCACTGAATACAAAATCAAAGATATGTTTAATACAACAAAAGTACATTGAGAATCAAATAACTAGTTACAACTAACAATACACTAAGAGTTAACGAATATAATTCACTCTGTGACGCAGTTGACTGAATGAAAAATCACATTTGTATATTGTATTTAGGGATATGTATAGTCCTAAACAGTTGTTTATTTGGGTTTCAATTTCTTGTTACAGAAGTCGTAATCATGAAAGTTGGATAACACATGGTTACGATGAGAACTAAGTAAGTGTGAAATACGTTTAATAATTAAAAAAATAAATATATAAAAAGAATTGTGAATATACACACACAGTACATCCATATATGCAATCAGATGGAATAGTGATGTTGGTGAGTTATGTTACACAGTATACTAGCATTCACCTAAAACAATAAACATTCCACAATTAGCCATACAATTGAATAAGAAAATATTCGATATGAGTTTGTACAATTGGTTCTCCTTCATAAATTTAAACAAAGCAGGAACGATAATATGTGCAATATACGAATAAATCGTTGTATTTTGCTGCTTTTGTTACATACAAGTTAATATGTCTGATTACCAAGACTATGAACCAGGAACATACATTTCTAACTTAATAAAATTTACAATCAAACAGATAGTGAGGCGATAAGCAGTCATTTAGGACCATTCGCTGAAGACATACTTGTTGGAAAGAACAAAACTATACGACCTGTTATTAGCAAGACTACAGTTAAAGAAATCTACATTGATGACACTTTTTTTTGTGTAATGATATGAACCATACAAATCAAATGCTTGAATCTTTTAGTGAATTTCAATCCAGTATCAAATTCAACAGAACATAAAAGCAACAGCGCGTCCCACTTCACCGATTTAGGTATTTCCAGAAGAAATTATGGGACCTGTCAAATGTTTATGCATCGAAAAGACACCTAGAGTGGACAACACGTTTGTCACTATGAAATTGATTACGCTATACACAACACAATGTCCGATAACAAAAATAGAATTAGATAAATATCCATCACCTGTCACCTCCAACCGCATATATCAATTTACTGTACATTTGAAGGACTGAAGAGTAAGCTTCTACTCGTTTTACCGAATACATTTCAAAATATATACGATGTCGAGGACATAATTGTCTACGTAGTTGAATAGCACGCCACCTGCTAAACACAGGGCACAATAGGGATGCAATAAAGTTAGGTCAAAGTTACTAATAAACAGTCCAATTCCACGTTATCAAAATTTGAAGGAGACAAAGCAATAAGAAGGATTACATATGATCTTAATATTTAGAAAGAATCAGTAGTTAGCCTTCGACTCCCTTGATAACTATTTGACCTCCTGTTTTACTTAACTGTAATCATAATTCAGTAAGTTAAATTCCTTTTTTTCATTCTAAATTTCCAGAATTTTGCTAATATCTCGCAATTTAGCATTCTAGAACTATTACTGTGAAAAGAAGTCTCCTTTTTAAAACTTTAACTTTCATAACACTAAACACAGTTTATTTGTATACCGATTGACAAATAATTTTTCAATATTATGTTAGTAGTTGGAAACTATTAAACATAATAGCTCGGCATGCAGCTGAAGAGAAATCAACGGAATAAATATGAATTTGTTGTATTCTAAAAATATAATGTTATCGTTCTTGATTTGTTTAAACTTAGTAAAACACCATTCAATCTCGTTTGAATAAATTGTGTTCGGTATGAATGTTGTACCACATGCACACTGGACAATTCAAAATACACTTAAAATTTCACTGCATCAAGTACTTTAAGGAATTTGCATAAGGAATGAGTATAACTTTAATTAACAGATCTATGTACTTGGAGTTTGTTTTACATTAATCGTATATGTTGGTATCCAACATAATATCTCAATGTTTAAATTTCAGACAAAACCATTACCTGATACACAAAGGGAAAATGTGTGTTTAAAACACTGGAAACAAATCCAAAAATTCTGTACAGTTTAATGATTTTACCAAACAGATAACAAGAAATTTAGCAGTGAAGAATACAGAGGAACAAATGTTATATGCCAAGAAACATTTAAAATCCCATAAAGAATTTTCTGTTGTGTAAAACAGTTAAAATTATTTATACTTAGTCATTTTATATAGTAATAACAAGACTGTAAATCTATACTCATAATATTAGAAACCAAACAACAAACCAAATGTTGAAAAATCAAGTTTTGACTAACAGAATTTGACTTGATTAAGGACAGTAACAAAATGTATTCATAGTTATTACAATTCATTAAGATTAACTTTTAACATATACCCTTATTGGCAATTAGTATTTTCACTAGAAACATTTTCGGTATTTATCACATGGGACTAACGAGCACGTTTGAAATATACTTCGGTCTTCATCATTACAGATGTTTTTTACTAGAAACGTAACGGTGTCAATAAGTTGCTGGCAGTAGTCCGAAAATATACTACAAAATAACTAAAATTCAAGCAGCTTATTCAAAAGGGGAGGTAGACTTGTAGACATTTACGCCAAAATTGGCTGACCATAATATGACCTGAATATATGCTTGAAACGCCGATTCGAAGTATAACATGAAAAAATATTTATCGCACGTGCTTGGTTGAGTTTGTTCAGTTGTAAAGATTCACATGTTTTCCGATGAGCACTAAGATTAAAACATCTGCTTACAAGCTCTTACTTTTACTGGAATACGTTAAGATATCAAGTAGCGCTCCGTAAGACATTATGTACACGTGACAGTATGAGGGTATTTCAAGAAGCGAAATTCATTCATCCCAGGTTATATTGGGGTAACTAGGAGGTTTAATCAGAAAAAAATGAATTCTTCCAATTAATGATAACAACAGTTCATTGTTTGAGATTGGTGATAAACATATTCACGTTATCAAAAAATATTAGTAATAAATTAATTTTAATAACTATTTGATAGTACTAAGAATCCCATATCAATATCTCTAATATTTACTGGTAAAATAGATGGGTGGTTACAGAAGAGTGCAGTAACTTGGCGAACACTTCACGTTTCAACAGCACCAATAATAACCGGACAACTAATTCAATTAATAGGAAGGAACAATAGGTAGATACTTAGTAAGAATGTCTAAAAAATACTAACTGACCTACCTTTAATTTAGCATTATATTCTCTATTCCCAACTGATGAAATGGATGGGACAACAGAGGGAAATTTGTTCTTAGATGAATTATCCGGATTTACAACTGTTGTTATAGGATTTAAAAACTCATGTGCGTTTAATGAATCTAAGTTGACTACTGGAGTGGTATGATGAGAGGTTTTTCCAATAGGTGTTGTAGTAATACATGTACGTTTTTCCGATGTTTGCTGAATAGGAGCATTTAGTATGTCAAATCCCCCAGTATCTATATGAAAATAATTTTTTAAATGAGTAATATAGGTAAGTCATAATTGTGATGAAATGAAGGTATTCACAGTTACGAACCAAACAGCTCAATGATAACATCTCAGACTACGAACGCGAATGAGCTAAGTTCGAGTCCACCAAACATTAGTTAGTCCCCTCAAGTTTGCAGAGACCACTTGCTAATGAGTGGCCAACGAACACGGAACCTATGTCCAGGGGTTTCTAGTAGACTACTAAATACCCAATCACTTAACATTCTAATTCGATATATTTAATTATTAAATTTAACAGTATCCTAATCATGTGGAAAATAACAAGTTGAATAAACAAATACTACTTTTTGTTGTTTACATTCTGTGATACATGAATTCCCAGACATATAGTATGTGAGGGAAAAAAGTAGTTTAAACAATTATCGATTAAACTTTATTTACGAAAGTCGGTTCTATTGTTTTCACTGCGTAATATAAATTTCTAGATGCAAAAAATGATAACTAATTTAAGAGAAGCAGTGATCTAGTATTTTCGAGGCATTAATGATCACAGGTCGGAAGCTCACATAGCAATTAAACGAAATAGCTGAAAATTTCATTTTTTATAAAAATGCAAGAATAATTTCATTTGTTAATCAGTCCTGGTAAGCAAACCAACCAGTATAGAGTAGATTAGTGTGGTGATATAAGTTAAAAGACAATGAGAGCGGTGTTGTAGTGATAAAGACTGCTCAGATAACAAAACTTATCGCAGAGATGTGAAACTATACACAGTAGACAACAGAAATTAACACACTAACTAGAGAAGCTCTGTACAAGTCGACAGTTGTTAAAAAATGTAGTCATCCGCTAAGTAAAACCTAAACAGCTTTACGAATAAAATATAGAGATGGCGAATCGACCAGCAAGATAACGAATTCCAATTGGTTGAGACGTGTATTATATATGGCTAAGCATAGCGTACCTCGATGATTGTTTGTTGGCGTAGGAGTAGGTTAGACGAAAGTCAGAAGTGACCAAAACAAGATGTGATATCAGTTCGTCGACTTATTGGCTGCTGAACAAAGCTATTTCGGTACGCGTAGACTACCTGGTTGGGATCAGCATAATTATCATGACCGACGACTGCAGACGCTGAGTGGCATGGCTCAAAATTAATCACAATGACGCAAATGCGTGTACATTTTGTCTTTGCTTATATTTCGAGTTCCGGAATAACTACGAACCTCTTAATCTGGGGAGTTATTTCTTTAGAACCATATTGTCTGTCTAATCTTCTTACTACTATTTCTAATTCTACCTCCTTACTATTTATTTCGGTAATTTTAACTAGGTGACAACTTAAAACCGATGGAAATAAGTCCCAGGTTTTATGTTGCTTATAATTAAATGATTCACCATTAAATGTCCCAAAGTCTTGAATGGAACAAATTATTTGAGAATTCGAACAATTTTAGGGAAACAATTTTGATCATGAAAAATTGAGAATGAGTAAAAAATACCACTTGGTACGTAGTGCAATAAAGGAGAAATGTTATTGTTTGAATTTTCTTTGATTTGTGATCAAAACACATGTCTGCACAACACTTGAGGAAGATAGTCATCATACCTATTTCAAAGGGTCGATTTTCCCGTCTTAGAAGAGTAGGTGTTACCGTAGAGCTTGCCTCTGTATATAAAATAGTCCCATCTCCAGATATATAACTCTCACTCTGTGTGGAACTGATATTCTGCATATACGAAACATTTGATGGGATATTTCCAACGAGCAAATTATCATCTGGACGAGAAGTGACCTCATTAGATCCTGAGTTCACTGTATTGTTTGGAGTGGATATGTTATTACAAGCTGATCTTTCAAAAACCTCCCTGGATACGGCTAAAAATAATACAAAACAAATTCAAGTGTTATATGATTCGGAGGAATTAACTAGAAAACCTTGAACTGATTCATCGCAAGTTAGTGACTGAAAAGTAGTTGTACATCAGAATTTGAGTAATTCATAAAGGGGATACAAACTGTTTGCAAAAGTCCCAACCGTAGCGGGTATCTTGATGTGACGGTCGGTGTTGTCTATCATGATGACTCAACGGAGCTATATTGGATGTAACAAATGTTCCTTTAGGCCCTACCAAGTTGGCTGGAAAACGATAAGATTAAAGGCAACAAACTTAAGGTCCGAGGGCAACGTAGTGCTCTTGACTGTGCTGTGGTATGACGACATTAAGGTGTTTCTCCCGGATAACTGACATCTGCAGCAACACTGCCTTCCCACAACAGAAGGAAGGGTCGACCCTAAAAACATCACACTTCACCTTACCCTGAGGAGTTCCCGTCTTCGGCGGTAAAGCCTTTTGAAGTGAGAAGTTAATATATCAAGAACTTTCCATAAAATGGCTGTGAGTGAGCGGTCTCAAACAGTTATCCCCTGGACTGCACATTTACGCTCTCAGATCGCTAAGACCACCACTAACCTTATTTTTAGGCCTCTCAAAAATAAATATCCATCCACAGTGTGAGGACCCAGGAAGTGACAACGGCCCTCATACCTTTAACAGCACTCGAAGTCATCTTGTTCACGATAAAAACCCTCCTTCATATCTTATAAAAGTCCAAAATGTGTGTAGATTCGGTACCTTAATAATTGCTGGGAATGACGAATAATTTTAGTTATTACAACAGTAAGTAAAATGACGAAGTTTTCCAACAAATTTTCATGGGACATTTTCTTCAGAATGATTACAAACATATAGAAATAACGGAAAATAAGCGAAAAAGTGAAAATAAACGCGCTATGTATACTAGAAAAACTACTAGAAGAAAAGGAATAAAGAAGTAAATAATTGTGGTAGGAAAGCAAAGTACACATATGAAAATAAAGAACAAAATGTATGGGTTATTATGGTATTGAAGAAAATGAAGTGTGAGCGGACACAGAGATGCTTTAGATTTTGAATTATCCTACTTAAAATAGCTCCACTTATTGCGGTTATCCTATGAAATACCATGAAGTCACCGCATTTCTATATAACTTGAATTCATATAGTGAGGACTTATGGAATAACAACAAGTTCAAATTCTTCTTACCAACACTTGAATTAGATAGGACATCGTATAGCTCAAAATAAGTTGCAATTTCTCAGATAAATTAATTTTTCACTGTCTATAAAACTGTCAACTTGTACTCCATTACAGCCTTTTTCTTATGTTGTGAACTAAATTTACACTGTATAGATTTCTAATATCACTGGCAATTTCACTTTCCTTCCTTCAGTTCTAATTTTGTCAACTTTTCAACTACGCCTGTGTGAATAGTGGGAAAATTGTACCGCGCCACATTAAAACCAAATTATATGTTGTTCATAACTAATCAATAGTCGCAACAATAAAATTTTAGTATAGCAAGAATATTTAAATGGTTTGGGAGCATGTTGCTCTGGTTCATTGTCATCCTAAAATTCGAGCAAACCAGTTAAACTGTTACGATCTTTACATCACCCATTACACCATATTTTTTCTTCCTTTAGACTTTGAGCTTCAATATTCCTTCATATATATCTTTCCGTTCATCTTTTCGAACTATATTCACAATGTTTAATCATTCTTACTATGATTGATATTACACTACTTTAATCGATTTTGCCATTCTCCTTGTTATTTCTATTTTGTCGTACTAATGTAGTGAGGCAACTTTGGTCGACACACATCTGCTCCAAGTTTTATGCTATGTCTGTCAGTGTTTTTACTATACGAAAGCTTTTATCTTTACTAACACCCTATCAGTATTGTCCCCTTTAGACTTTCTTTAGAATATTCGCTTAATTACAACAGAAAAAGACCTAAACTCATCAAAAAATCCATGAATTAGTGAAAACGAAAACCTCAACAAGGAATAAAGTAGGATTTTTAGAAATTTAAACAAACGAAACAATAAAGTAAACAGCATAGTTTTATTCAGCGATGACTCCTAGAGGCCATAGCAATTAAGATAAGACCTGGTTTTTATTTCTAACTATTTTTTGCCTTAGTAACGAAAAAGGAACATTCGAATGAATTTTTCTTTCTCCTTCGAACTAGGATGACAATTGAATGAACTCAAAACTTTTCATGGTCATAATAAGGTTTAGAAAAATTGTCTTCACTAATAATATATATATATATATATAATTATGCTTTGCAGACTATTTACTATAAAATAGATGATGTGGCTAGTAAAAGAATCGAAGGTGTGCGTTTAGTATTATTTGCGACCTGTCAGCTAGATGAACCTGCACTCCAAAGTTGCTGTTCACTCTGAGATTCAAATCCGGTAACTTTCATGTCAAACATACAACGCGTTATTCACTTATTGAGTCCAAATGGGCAGCTGATTAGTCTCAAATAGGACATAACACCCACCCAGAGTTTTACTGTTAGCCACATTCCATGCACTCTGCGAACATAATAGATGTAGTGAATATATAGAGGCAATCGGTACAGGATGAATATATACCAACTAATACTGATCAAAATCCAGTCGAATTGCCAACTGTTACAAACTGAAATAAGATTTAATATTAGTAACTTGATGGATGATTAAATATGAAATTTTTTCAAGTATATTACTGTTTATTAAAACCACATTAACATTGAACTTATCAACCTGTATGTATGTAGAAGTCAACGGAATAAAACTGAATTTATCGTTGACTCTACGACCTATGTTACTTTTGCTTTGTTGTGAAATATGTGAAGGAAACTCATCAGAGGTATTTTTCCAAAAGTTGAACACGTACCATCTTTAATCAGGTGAAATCCATGTTTTCTACCTTCTTCTAATAGCATTCGAACGAAAAGACGAACAGATTTTTCTCCTGTAAAATTAAAACAACGGTGTAGCCAAGAAGTTACTGAAGGTAAGAAAGATGAGCAAGAAAACAAAATTTGATTTTATATAGAAACTAAGGATTTAATTAGTAGGATAGTTAGCAAAACATAACAACACTGTCATGCTCACCTAAAAACGCAGGTATGCAATACACAACAGTAAAAGATGTATAAGTATAACTGTTGTAAACTGTCGATCACCAAGTTCATCCGAAAATATGTTAATAACATTTGATAGGTGATTTCAAAACTGAAAGTGTTCACAAGTTACTATACATTAAAAAGTGGTGAATATGGGGTTTTCAGTGACAAAGTAATCCATACAGTTAATACTGCATTTTGAATTGATTTCAACCATTGCTTTGATATCAGTGAGAATGAGCTTTTGTACATCAGTTACCTTGGATGAAACTAGGACGAGTTACAGCTTTAATTACTTCTCAATTATGGGTTACTATCAAGTGAAGTAGGATAGTTGTTTCAAATCTTTACTTACAGATGTACAGATTAGGCTATCCATGAATAAATAAATGATGTACTCATCACGATAAGATCCTATGTTTAAAGATGAACAACACATCAATATTATTACTTTTCGTGAAAATTAGACAAACAATAATTACTGTAGACGTTTTACAATTTTTTGATCATAGCTATTAAGATAGGAAACTGAATTGTTTTTGGACTTCAGTAGAGCTTCTACTTGAATATAAGTATGGATAACTATTCGAAAATAAATGATATATATGAATACAACCCTGCCATAAATTAGAAGTTATTCAAGTGTTATGATACGACAGAAACTCGGTAGGGGAAGTTTCAGCATTTTAAATTCTGATAAAAAGATAAAAACCTACATTTACGTAATAAATCGAAAAACCAGTAACAGTAAATGCCCTGGTACGGCCGAGGGTGAGAGAATTAGCTCTCTCTCATTCGAAATGCTCTCACATAGCCACGCATATAGAGCCACTGCCAGGGAAGTCCTACCCACTGCCTTCTCGTGACGAGGGTGTTGTTTACGAGATTGAGAAGACGAAAGGCGAATGTCCGGCGGTTCATCCGGGTCAGTGAACACGAAGGGTCCACCTAGGGGAGTTAGAAAACCCTGATCCCAAACCAATGGTGCATATGGGCTCCAGGAACCTGGGGGAACAAATGACGTATGCACCTATCGTTGGTCACCGGCTATCATGGGACTGCATCTCTTGACGTTGTTCCATTGCCTTGTGGATCAGACCTTTAGGTCGAAGGTTCCGGGTGTGGCCCACTAAGAAACCCACCTACTTCAGTCTGTGCACCCGGGTAGTATTATGGCCCACACGCAAATCAAGTGGCTTGTATGGCGTATATGTATTCAGTGTCCTTTTATACTAATATTTGTGTTCAAATAAATAAGACAATCTTTCAAAAGCTAATGCAAATGGACCTACTTGGCACGTCTTTCGGAAATCGAAACTCGTACTTGAACTTCTCCACTCTCGAAATGCTAGTTTTCGTTTCTAATGTGAAGTATTCGATAAGCTCACGACTGAAGAGATCAGCAGAGGCAAAGCCAGTTATGAGATATTCCATAACTTTTGATGCTCGTTCAACCTAAAATAAGACAAACCTTAGTTTTCAAAGAATTTTGATCACTAATGTGGCGAAATTTTAAACATAATCATACTCTTCAGGTATAAATATGTCTTATTTTTAATGTAAATAATCTATTAGGACAAAAGTATGACAAATCCTATTTCCTGAAATAGGATTATATATGGAATTAAGACAGACACTAGCTGCATACAGAAAAAAACTAGTTAAGTATATGCAAGACCTAATCTGTGTTACTATACGAAAAGTGGATAAAATATATTAGATATAAAAAAACACATTCTTTTGAGGTTAACAACACAACAGATGAATTCATTAGTGTCAGACACCTTTGCGATAATCATTCACAGAATTATACTGTACTATTAGATTGTATGAGTAATTAAGGAATAAGTCCATTATGCAAAAACATTGGGGAGCTACTCATCGAAATATGTTCATAAATAAATAAATTTTTTGGAGAAAACCAAACATTTGGTTCGACGAGATAGGTGAAAGAGTATAAGCCTTATATCACACAAAAAAGAATCCAGAACTTTCACATACTTCCCCCCCTACGGCGATTGACAGAACCATCCTTCCAAGAGATCAAGCAGTAGTTCTGAAATCGAGAGTTTCTTAATAAGTCTTCAGTTAACAGATATCCTATTGTTATCATCAACGACACAATACAAAACAGTTTTTCTTCAGTGTCATCAACCACTTATTAGTGTATTTAAGATAAAAAAGAATTCACTCCCGGTAAATTTTGTTAAGACTGACCCAAACCTAGTACAAAAACGTTATTCCACCAAATCACACAATACCAGACGTGAATACCATGATATAAGAGAATATCTGAGCACTCAATCCAAGCTAATAGCAGAAATGAGTGAACTGGAGCTAAACCATGTATACAAATGGTGTTTCCTGAAAATAACTGTTCAACCCAAAAATGAAATCATGATTAGTTAAGAGCCATAAGACAAGTATATCTCACTTTTATTGGGGTAGTCGTGCAGCTGGGGAAAACAGAACCGGCGACAGATTTAGCAACAGCTTCCACAGACATAGCATTAACTTCAGTATGATAGATCATTCGAAACCAGATGCCGAATAGTAGAGCAAGTAACTGCTGAACAGGCTTTGGTTGGGAAACAATCACACTAAAAATGTGGGGATGATAATCAGAACACACGTTTTAAAAAGAATTCAGGACATTAATTCGTCGAAATATTCATAATATAAAATATGAAGTTTTTGTGTTATCATTAAAATAGCGCAGATGTAATATTTAGCCTTGACTCAGAAAATAATCTGATGAGTGATTCACGACGTCAATGGTCTATCTTGATTTACGTCACTGTCGTATTGATATGAAGTTTACCATATTGCCCAGACTGCTACATATTTATATTAAGTTATGAGATCGAAAATGGACGAGTATCAACATGTTAGAACTAAACATTTTAGAAGCTAAAGCACGCAGTCACCAGGAAACTTACTATAGCTCAATCATCGTAAAAAGAAAACGAATTCTTAAATTCTTACAAGGACATTAATTTTTATACAACGGGAAATAATTATATTTGAAAAAAATCTGTAACTGCACGCACTTTAAGTTTCTGTTACCTTAAAAGTTAATGAACTGCATAGAAGAGCAGAAGTGTGATTGGCATTTTCGACATACTGATATTACTGACTTTAACAGCGCTGTATGAAGCACTCACCTTTGATTAAATAACAAGTGCGTATATATATATATATATATATACACCTGGTAATACCTATTGTACATGCACGTGCGAAACCAGAATCTTCGAGTTTCTTCGTATGGACGCTATTGGTAAGTAACTGACTCCACATTGTGGCAACAATATCAACGGCTCTGTTGGTAGGCTCGACAGCTAGAATTTGTTAATTTGATTCAGTTATAAGGAAGTCGAGCCATGGTTTAGCGTGTGAGGTAACAGCAAATACAAAGCGTACAGTAAACATTAGTAAAAAAAATGGTAACCATCAATGTAAGTAAAGTTTAAAGGTTCAAATAACGTTGAAACTTTAAATGACCATAACACAAAACTGAGTCACTCAATCGTAAAGATGAAACTCTCAGATCATATACCGGGGTAGTAGAGGTAGTAACGGTATCACCGAACTTGAAGGAACGCTATGATATCAGGCAGTAGTAAAAACCCAATAAAGCATAATGTAATTTTAACACTTATATACGATTATTATTATTACAATGACCAGTATTTAGAGACATCTAGACAACAGAATCTGTTCAAAGTGCGCAAGTACAGTAAAATTTAGTCCCGTTGCGAACTGTATGAAGCATGAAAGCAGAGTGAGATAGATGAGAGCTATCACGACTTGATGATCAATGAATATCAGACTATTAGGCCGTACGCTGCACACTATTTAAAAAACAGGATTGGTATTTATGCCTGAAGACTGACGGATGAACAGTAACTAGAACCCGTAGTTTGCATAAACGACCGCTAGGCGAGACTAGAATTTATGGACGAAACAATCAGGTATAAGACAACAGGTCCCGGATTTTGGCGCGAAATTCACTCATCCATTTGGCTAAATAGTTTTGACATTATGGCTTATGTCAGTTCGTGATGAAAATCATACTTATTTCTAATCCTTATTCGGTCCTAATTACTAGACGAACACTCTTAAGGTAACTTTCGCGTCGTTCAAAAGTCATCCATAAGTTATAGTCTCATCGTCTGCTGGAATTATTAGGAAAACGATATTATTAAGAACCAAACTATGACATAAAACACAATGTTTCGTCAAAAAACATGCTTTTAAGAACTATACTAACCAGTGCATTGCTTCGATTCGGGCTTGATCATCTGGAATGTCAAGAGTAGAAAGCAGTTTTTCTTCAGATTCAGGACCCAAAATCCCGCCCTCAATATGTAGCAAATACCGTTTGGCAATATTTGCAAGGGTATAAAAGTTGTAATCTGTCCACCTGATTGGTCTCCCCGCCTCAAGGTCAGAGATAATCTTTTTCATATCTTGTTGGTTTCCAGGTCTTCTGAACAAATCCGTTACGGCTACTCCCTCACGAGCTATGTAGACCAATAAATCCTAAACGGTCAAGTCAAAAACAGAGACCTACTCGAATCTGTGACGGGATATTTTGTGATTTAAAGGATTCATTAATCTTTACATTGAATAACACCCTGGTTAACCGACGAGACAAGCCATGTCTGCGACAAACACATTTTCGGATATTTTCGAATAGTGGCATGAGTATCATAAACTTTCGAACATTATTTAGAGCAAAAAATGAAAGAAAACACAATGGATGAACTATAGCGATTCACGTCTAGCCAGAAGTTATTTTGTGTACTAGGGAGGCATATAATGTCAGTGTAGAGGGCTGCAAAACAAAAAAGAATAGTGAATCGACAACCAAAAAAGACCAAACAATCCTTATATATTTTCCAAGGGTACCAATCTGTAACAATCATAAATAACATAAGCTTCAGATTAAGACTATCTTGCGATCAGTACTAGAAAACAAGAGCGCAACCTGCTACAGAACTTACAGACGTATCCAGCGCCATACCAGGAGTAGGGGAATTTTCATATGTTCAATATTCACTACAATTTACGAAGAGCAGATTTTAAAGTTTCAAAAACAGAATACTCAAAATCTCTTATAATTATTCTTGCACAGTGTTTAGATTTTGTACTATTTTCCCGTTCGTATCGACAGGACATTCAAAAATCACCATTTCCTAAAATGTGTACCAAAAATTGGTAAAAAGGTTGAAAAATTTATGGAATCACTTACTGCCAAGCTAAACAATCATCCTATGACTTTCAAATAACCCGCAAAAGTAGATCTGGGCACGTTTTTGTGAGAACCTAAGGCATATATTAAAGTGGTGTTTTGATAATTTTGATAAACACAATTGAATGCCATATTTCCCCTTTAATGTAATACAGTATATGTAATCGCATTTTTATGGCATAACGTTATTGACTTTAAGTTTTGAACAAATGTTATAATATCGATGTGAACACTGACCCTCCTAATGCGGCTTCTACATAGTTTGACAATCTTATGAATAAATCGAAATTTATGTCTCACAACGACATGCAATTGAGTAAAAAAATGTCAGTTTGGTGACAAAAGCCTTTTGTAAGCGCTCCTGTAGACAATACGATTGTACAAAATAGTGGGCGTGCCATTTATAAGTTATCGACCTCAAGAGCAAAGATGTGCCGAGCTTTTTTCTGACCATATATGGTAATGACACACCACCAGATATACTCAACAAGGTCCACAAGATCAGAAACAAATGCTAGATTGCTACGAAACTGCCTTTCTTCGTTATTAACCTAAAGAGTCTATGTGAGTATTTTTGTCTCACTCACTTTTAGAGAGATTTGCTCACGTAGACTCGATATTCGTAGTCCTTATGTAGATATCCTTTGGTGGTTACCGATAACAGTCCATAAATATTTATGGATTAACGTAACAGATAATTTACAACAAAAACGTCACCCTCATGTCTAACATCTGAAGAAGAAACAGTGAAATTCACTGAGGTGCATAAACTTCAACGTATACTTACACTGATGCATCGAGATCATTCCAATTAAAATAAAACACAACTAAAATGTATGTTCCTTGAGAAGAGGCAATCTATTCCACAGAAAATCCCGTGCTGCCAGCGAAACAACACCATATGACTAAATGAATATTAAGTTGAAGCTGATATAATAGAAAACAATGTGCGAATACAGAATTTATCAATATGAATGTGCCACGGGTATATAGGGTATTACAACGCCTTGACACGTAACACCATTATAATCGAAGAATATCAAGCCAGTTAAATCAGAAGTCAGAAATGAAAGGGCTCAAAGGTGTTGAGTCGGCTTTCGGACAACTGCAACGGAGCCTCGTAGTTATACTTATTGGCCGTCAATGGACAAAGATATCGAGAATAAATGCCGTAACTGTTCATCGTGCATTCAAGCCGCTAAAAGTCCTTTGAAATGTGAACCTCAGTATTGGCCTATGCCTGCAGGACCCTGAGTAAGACTTCACGCAAATTTTGCTGGTTCAATCCAGGGAACAATGTGTCTAATGATCGTAGATGCATTTACTAAATGGCCGGAAGCATATACCATGCCGAACTGTACAACATCAGAAACAACCCACAAGTTGTCTACCCTGTTTAGCTGCGTTGAAGTACCCGCGACCTTAGTAACGGATAACGACTCGCAATTCGCAGCAGATAGGTTTAGGCATTTCTGTAGCATAAATGGAATAACTCATCTTCGTTCTCCGCCCTATCATCCGCAATCGAACGGACAGGCAGAACGCTTCGTGGGCACCTTCAAACGAGCATTACTGAAAGGAGGAGGCGAAGGGACCACTGGAGAGGTAGTCACAAATCTTTAACATCCTACAGAGCCACTCCGAACCCAAATGTTCCGTATGGCAAGTCCCCTGCTAAAGCCATGTTCGGAAGGCGTAATCGGACCGTTTTCAATGCCATGTTGCCATCCAAATTAGTGGACGGGCACTGTCAAAATCCAAATATCCGGAGCTTCAATATTGGCGACGAAGTTTTCATTAAATCCTACATCGGGAAGAACCGATAGGAGCCGGGAAAAGTTGTACAAAAATCGGGAAACGTCCTGCACAGAGTCCGAGGATCTTTTGGGACACGTATACGACATACGAATCAAACCCATAAGGAAAAAAGAGCGATGCAGACTCGAAAAAACCGGCCAAATTTCCTGTTGGAGTTATCTTAGGCACACCAACGCTACATATGCCCAAGGACACTGATAAGAAGCCTCGGAAAAGGCAGACGAAAAGAATAATGGGACGCCGCCACAACCCAGATGTCACGCTACAAGTAGATCCTAGGGAGAAATCTTATTCGGGGGAGGTGTTGAATCGGCTTTCGGACAACTGCAACGGAGCCTCTAGAGGAACCGAAGTGTCCTGGCCAATCAGAGGATGATGGAGCTTTCTGGAATGTCAACGTGGCGTGTTACTATTGGTCAGAAGTATGACATGTCTTTTAGCGGATTGCTTAAGATATGATGTTGATTTAACAAATGTTAACATCTATAAATACCCGTGCTTTCTGTACAAAAATGGACCTTGGAGTAAAGTATTTTCTCGCATACTTTGCGTCTTCTCTTGTGTTAAGGTCGCTGTATAGTTCTAGCTTGGGGGTTACAGAATAGCTTAGGAAACGATTATAGCGTTCAATTCGCAAGACTTATCAGGTTTATTTGGAAAGCTATCGATATATGGAGTTGCGCTTGGTTAGTAGTAGCATGGGATAAGCAATCATGATCTGATGCGGATGCTTAGGCGATTGGCATCTCCAAGGATGACTCCAGTAGAACTAATGAGGTCAGCTTTGACTTTTAAGATTTAAAGGACTACTTATTTTTTACGACTAGTTATTTTTGCAACAAATTTCGACTCATAACGTTCTATACTTCTAGTCCTAATGCTTTTCAATTGAATTCCACAAGAAGTTCTTACTTCACACGAATTACAACATGAGGTTTCCGACGCTATGTGATATGAAGTCCAGGCCCTTGATGTCTACGTCGACTATAATCAAATGTGAGCTATTCGCAATTATGACGGAACTAGAATGCCAGTTGCGTCTTTAGTCAACCAGTTTTTCTTTTCAATACGCAAATATGGCTTCGAACATCCCAGTTTTCGTGGTGTATACTGTATCGTTATGCAAATAAACTCGTCCCGCCTGCTGGTATGAGGGCCATGTATGTCAAGTCAATTTAATAATTTATCACCGTAAGTCAAGTCGCACTTAATACTTACATTATTATGTTAGATCTACTGATGACATGATACAAAAATAGAACTGCAGATGTGACTTTCGACATTCCGTTCAATTAAACAAAAATGGTTAGAATATAAACTTTTGATTGTTTTAATTTAAGGGTTTATCTGAAGCAAAAGACAAATAAACAAAATGTAGAAAGTAACTCAGTGATTATATTATAAAGATAAAAATAATGGGATTGAAAAAGTCACGAAATTGATCAATTTTACATTATTTCTTTTCCGGCCAGAAAGTGAGCACTAATGTGTGTCCATTGCGACGACTAATCGTGTGAAAATTGCGAACGGTGATGGCTTCTGTGACAATTCCCTTCCGTAATGAGAGTCAGCCGAAAGCTAAGAAAATAAATCATAGTGTCACGGTTAGATAAAATTGAAAAATTCGAGTTCACACAATAGTCTCGAAGTGAAATGATACTACTTGTAAGTAATATAAATTTATAATAATGCTTTCATAACTTAACACAAAGGCATAAATTTCAACATTTAACATCATATATTTTAAACTGAAAATACATTTGAGCATGGGTTCGGATACCAGAATACAGTAATTTTTGTTCTGTTCGAGACTCGACCGAATATAGTGACAATTACCCCGGAGGATTTGTGAAATAAGGCTGATCCACTCAACCAAAAAGTAAATGAGTACAAAGACTTTGAATGCAAAGTGAAAGCAAGCATAATAAAAAGAGTAACCAAAAAATAAAAGAATGAGACAACTGATTACTGAACAGTAATAAATATATTGCTCCCCTGTTTCCTAATTCTGGAATTCGTCAGTCGCGAACTTCATGTGCCAGTTTCAGCGGAAGATTAAACTCCTAAAAATTACAAGTATGACTTGCTAGAATGCGCGGACAAGTGCTGAAGCTGGATATATTTATTTTAAAGGACAGTATTTGACCAACGAACAAGAAAACGATACTGTAAAATGAGAACAAGGCAAGCCCCAAAACAAAAGGGTCCGCTTAATTTATTACCACGGTTTTAGTAGACTGAAATACGGTCTCTACCTATCGTTATATTTAATATTATGTTGTGAATAGGTTTCTTTTAAGTTATGACACATATCTATCGACAACAGAAAAATTGCCAAACAAGAAGTGACCAGAGAACTATATACAGTTTTCGTAGATCGCTCTACATATTTATTATACTGTATTGCACAGTATACCTTTGTTTATTTAAATAGAACATCTTTCTGATATTGATGGACTACACTCTGTGTCAGGTATCGAATATAGTCAGATAATTTCTAAAGCGACCACAAGACAAGTACTTAAAAAGTGATTAGTAGACTTATTTAAGTATAATAGTAAGTACGTAAATATATTTTTGCGTTATAAAATTACAAAAGAAATAAAGTCCAAGTACACAGGTGGCTTAAGCAGTGTCCTATAGTCACTTAGGAGTCCATTTATATCGCGAGTGAAGTGGTTCATAGTACCTGTTCCCCGAATTTCAACTGGTAGCCTACACCACGTTGCATTACGGAGTAAAAAGTATTAATACTGATTTACTTATTTACATTCCCCACAGCTCTCATTGTTCAATACTCACTAATTTAAATTCGTCCTGGAAGTTACTTGGAATCCATGTTTATTCAGATTAAGTGAATTGAGTCTTAACTAACAATTTGTATCAACCTGATCATGCCTGTAAACTGGTGTGTATTCTGTACTGACTTTCAGAAAAGAATTATTACTA